CTTACAGATCTAAACCCGAGAAGGGCAGTGGGGCGTGTGTTGTAAACTTGTTTGCTTTGTTTATTTTTCTAAACATCAGTCCAGCTTCTTGTCTTGAAGGATCATAGATTCCAAATTAGTAGAGTCAAAATTAATGAGATTTTCCAGTAATGAGCCTAGGACTAAAAATTATGGAAAATCCACTAATTATAGCCTATGCAGCCACCTAACAGCGACTTGGATTCAGGCCTCTGGGGGAGGGGAGTGGGAAGGTCGTAGATGTAACCTGTGCCTGACCGTCCTTCCTTCCTGCCGCTGCTGCCCTTTTCCCTGGGCTTGGGGACCTCAGAGCGCCCAGTGCTTCCTGCCCCCGAGCTCCTGCCCCCCCACCCAGGTCAAGCTAGGCCCTGCTTCTAAGGGCTCTCTAAGGCTAAATTCCTGGAAACTACAAAATCGGGCCCATAGTGGAGGCGTGGGGCATGTTTTCTTCTCAGTTCTGGGAAGCAGTGAGGGAGGGCTGCCGGGAGAAGGAAGAAGGGTAGAAAAAGCAGACGAAATGCCCATTATGCCCAAACCCGTCAATTTCCTTTTTTCATCTCTTTATCAGTGTTTGCGACAGAGCTTCTTATCAACAGGAAACGCCTGCCTAAGGGGACGAGGCAGGTCCAGAGGGACTGGACGCCAGGGACTGGGAATTCTGGGTAGTGCGTTGTTGCTGTCCAGCCTGACTGAGTGGCCTCATGATTCCCAGGACCCGGTAAGGCTCCCAGGCTCTTTGCCTTGGCATCTAGTGAATCCTTGGGTCTAGATAGTAAGACAGCACACCAGACAGGCCCTGAGGCTGAAGGGTCTGCAGGAGGGAGTCCTAGGTGGGGCTCCAGCCCTAGCCCTCTGTGACCAAGGACAGGTTACCAAACAGCTCAAGCTATAAAATGAGAATTGCCCTTGCTCCTAAAGCCCACCAAACCGCCTCCTTCCTAGCTGAGGAGAGGCCAAGTGACTTGCTAAGGTCACAGACAACTTAGTGAGAATCACACCAACTGACGCTTCTACTGTGTTTGCCTCGAGCCCTCATAGGATGGTGCCTGTGCTAGGCATCCAGGCCTGGGACAATTAGGTGCCTGGCACAGACTTCTAGATGAAGGAGAGGAGGGGACTGTAGCACTGATTGACCGCCTACTATGTGCCAGGTACTTTAAAGACATTGTTCATCAGACTAGGGTACTAGTCTCCCAGATAGGCCTCCCAGGAGAGGGACAGACTGAGGGTCAGATTTCACAGGAGGCTGAGATCAAATCTTAGTGCTGAAAATAAATGCCCAAGAGGGATATCTGGGCCAAGCAAGGCTTTATGTGTGGCTGAGAGGAACAGGTTTAACTAGACGTTCTTTCTTCAAACTGGCAGGAGACGGCATCAAGAGTGTGGCACTGGCTGTTCTCCCGGTAGGAGAGGTGGGAAAGGTTGGTGTAGAACAGAGTAGGGGCCACCTTGCTCCCCACTCCTTGCCCTCTGCCTGTCAGTTGCCCTTGAGCAGCCACACTCTGCTCTTTGCGGTGGCGATAATAAAGGAGATTCTAGTGTGCCTCCTGCCCTGCCCCCGTGTCTCCCTGGACAACCCCACTCTCCCCCCACGGCACCACTTGCTCCTGCAGTTGGGGATCTAGGTCAGTAAGAGTGGGTGAGTGAGAAAGAACAGAGAGGAGACTCATCCAGACGTGACACCCAGCAGGGCAGCAGTGACAACACTTTAACCTGAAAACTGCCTGAAAATAGACTGTGTGTCTATGACATTATGCAAATCATATGCAAAGTCAAGAAGCCCTCTGGCTCTATTTCTAGCAAACTGAATGTGGCCCTGGTGGAAACAGCTCGTTCCAAGAGTCGCCCACCCAGAGTGATGACTGCACAGTTAGCATCAGTCCCTGCCCTGGGAGACCGGGCTCAGGACAGGCAACCCACCCCTCGACCCCCAGGGCTGGGTCTTCTCGATTCGAGGACTTTGCCACCTCTTGGTCTGTTGATCTTGATGCGAGTGAGGATACAGAGGAAGCAGAGCACCCTCCTTAAAGGCTGATGTGAGGCAGGACTGAGGGAAAATGGCAACTGGGAGGGTAGAGACAACTGCCCTGGAGGGCCTGGGTACCGCGAGGACTTGGCAGGGGAAGGGGTGGTCCTCAGCATCAAAGCTCATGCTCCAGGGACCACCTTCAGCCCCACTTGGGCATGTTATAGACACTCATCACCCCTCAGGAAGGGTCCTTATCATGCAGACGATCCTCTCCCTCTCTGTATATGTAAGGAAGTTGGAGCCTGGGGTCCCCCACGAAAGCAGGGCAAAGCTGCAAAGAAGTAAATGAGTTTTCTTCTTTTAAAGGCAGGCAGGTTCCCTGAGGCTCTACATGGAGGCAGGGGCTTGAACATGGTGAACTCCCAAGGACTCTTCTTTTTTTTTTGCTGAGGAAGATTAGATTTGCTTGCAGAAGATTTGCTCTGAGCTAATATCTGTGCCAGTATTCCTCTACTTTATATGTGGGTCACCACCACAGCATGACGGACGAGTGGTGTATGTCCGGGCCCAGGATCCGAACCCATGAACCCAGGCCACTCAAGCAGAGCTCAGAACTTAACAACTAGGCCACAGACCGGCCCCAAGGACTCTTCTAACCCTGGAGGGCAACAAGCCAATTCTCCTTTCCTAGACCCCAGCCAGGCTTTTTGTAACTCCTTTTCTGCAGTTTTCCAACTGCTTTTCTAGCCACTCGCCATCCATAGTGTGGACATCAGGGTGGGGACATAAGGACCAGGGTCTGGCAGGGACGTGGGAGGGGTAACGCTGCCTTTGCGGGATGCCTGACACTCTTATTTCCCCAAAGCTGGTCTAAAGGTCCTCTGGGAAGCAGGGCATGGTCTGTTGGGGGCCCTTCATGGACACAGGCACCGGGAGACTGCAGGAGGCTCCAGGCGTGAGGCCGACTTGGGGGCTGCAGGGAGTAGGGGAGGTCCTCTGCGGTAAAAGGAATTGGGGTACCCTTTCTGTGGCTCCCTAAGAGGACCTCTAATACAAAGGCACAGATTTTCTAGGCTGGGCAGTCAGACGGACAAGTCCCCTCTCTGTTTCTTTTAATACCTGCCTCCCCCACTGCATGTCCCTGCGTCCAATTTCCTGGGGGAAGGGGAATGGGGGGGTTCTGAGCCCAGGATGCCAAGGCGGGGATGAGGACTGACATCAGGCCAGGTGGGGACGCTAGCTGAGGAGGGAATTGAGGACAGGGAGTTGAGGGGGACGGGTCCATGCTGCCTCCGAGTGAGGACACCGAAATCTCCTTTCTAGGTGTGGTTTTCGGGGGACAGCCCCCGCAAGCGGAGGCACCGGAAGCGTACGCACGCCGGCGCCGGGGGCCAGGGTGAGGAGGTCCCCGTGCCTGCGAAGGCCCAGGGGTTCCTGCGCGCGGCGGGACAGGGAGGCGGCCGCGGGGCAGCCCTTTGGCCAGCAGAGGGCAATGTGGCCGCCGTGGCCAGCAGGCTGCTCCCGGTCCAGGTCGGAACTGAGTGAGATTTGGGCGCCGCGGGGTCTAAGCAGGGGCTGCGCGAACTTGACTGCCTATTAAGTAACGGGGCATGACACCCTGTCCTCTCAGGTTCCCTCTGCGACGGGCCACCGCAGAGGCACGGGCCTAGGAAGATTCAGCAGGAGCTCGGGATTCAACCGTGGTTTATTGAGGACCTACTATGTGCTAAGCACGTGCCAGGTGCCCCCGCAAACAGTATCTGTAATTTCCACCCTGGGAGGCCTCCCCGCGCTCCGACAGAAGCATTATGCAGACTGCTCTCACCTCCCTGGCCGCTGGCTGTCCTCCTCCCACCGGCCCCCTTCTCCCCTGTCACCGCACCTCCTGCCTCAGACCTTCTCCTCTTAGGGATTTTCCAGCCTTTGGGGAACTGCTGCTTTCAGTTTCTGGCTGTGGAGTCTCAAGAGGAGGCTTTTTGCCCCCAAATCCTGTAGAGATAAAATCCTTCCGGGGGCAGACTGATTCCTGGGCTGAGTGGGTTCCAGTGACCAGAAGATGTGAAACTGCTGGGAAGCATCTGCTGGGAAGCAAGCTGTCCCAGGATGATCTGGGAGCCCAGCAGGTCCATCCAGCTTTCTGTTTTCACCCAGTTTCACTTCCTGGTTCTCCTCCAGGCCTTGCACAATGCTGGGAGCCTGGCCTGGGAAAGTGCCACGCCACGGTGGAAGAAACACACAAGAGCCCGCCCCGGGAGGCTGTGCTGGGTCATTGACAGCGGGAGGGGAGGAGGTTGTTTCCTTCACCTCCTGTGGAGAACGGAGGGTTCCTCTCCACTCTGCCCCAAGGGCTGAGGGCTGTGAGGCCAGGTCTTCCCAAGCTTCGGGCTGTCCTATTCCCTAGAGTGAGCACCACCGGCCCCAACCCGTCAGCCTCTACCTCCTGCCCATCCACCCGCCAGTGTGGTAACCTGGCGGTAACCTCCTCAGTGCATGGACTTACACCCTTGATGTTTCCAAAGGCCGAACTTTCTGTGTGCTTCCCTAGAGACACGAGGTTCTTCCTAGACACACTCTAGGGTGCCTGGCCAAGTGTGTGAGGCTGGGCCAGGGGCCAGTGGGGAGCAGGCACCTGGTGCTGGAGGCTTGTTGGCTGGAGCCAAATTTCTTCTGAGCCTTGGAGGCCCTGCAGGAAGCCGGCCCTCAGCCCCTCTCAAACCTGGGCAGAGACGAGTAAGCCACAGAGGGGGTGAGTGGCTGGCTTGCTGGCCAGAAGGCCCAGGGCTGTCTGAGCCCAGCGATGGTCACTGGCAGGGGTTAAGGCAAGAACTGGAGTCTGCAGAATTAGAGGGTAGGAGGGTTTCTGACACTCCCGGACTCAGATACAGTTATTTTCAAATCCCCATCTTGAGGCAAATTGCCAAGGGCTGGGGCATAAGGAATAGAAGGACTGATGAGCTGAGCTCTGACACAGGCTGACATTTCAAAGAAAATTAGAGCTGAAAAATCCTCAGAGGACATCAGGACCAAATCTTCACTACGTAGATGAAGACACAAAGGTCCTGGGACGGCGAAGGCCTCATGCACGTACAGAGAGCAAGCATCCAGGACCAGAACCTGGGTCTCCTGGCTCCCAGCTGAGCCTTTCCCCCACTATGCTTGGCCTCAATGTCCTCTCAGTTATTCTGAAAGTCCTGGGCCTTACGCATTTGACCTACCACCTCTCCACTGGCCTATGACCCTGCCACTCCCTCAGCAGGACTCCTTGGGTTTAATGCCCTAATAAGTCAGCCAAGATGGGGGTGGGGGATGGGCCCAGGATCAGGCCCCAGCTCTCTCAGGCAGCTGGCATTCAGGAGCAGGGGTCTTGTCCGGGAGACAGAGGCCCACGGCATCATGGAGCTGAGATACAAACCCACAGAGAGAAACTGATGGGCCCCGGGTGTCAGGGCTTGTGCCAGAGGCTGAGGCCTGGCAGGGCAGGGTGTCTACTGAAGTGTGGACAGGGCCCTACTCCCCCTGGGCAGCTCTGGCCGGGCAGTGGGGTTAACTGAGGGCAGGGGGTAAAGTGCAGCCTCTGCGCCTGGGACTGGGATTCCCTGGCTTGGCCACCCTGGCTCTGGGGCCTCTTTTGCATCCTGTCCTGGGGGTAGTAGGGGGTGCGCCCAGGGCGTGGGGGTGGGGAGAGAGCCAGGCGTCAGGGAGCCTGCTGCTTTGAGCAGACTAGACAGCGGGGGATCGGGTTTCAGCCCAGCTGTATTTCTGGCTGGATGGGCTGGGGGCCGGGCCAGCAGGCATAGAGGGGCACTCCCCTCCCCAGCACACACATTTCACACTGCCTCTACCCAGATAGGCCACCATCCACTGCCCCCTCCAGCTCCCCCACTGCAGGCAGAGGGGAGTCAGGCATCAGGTGCCCGTGGTTAGTGAATCACTTTGGGCTTCTCCAGGCTGTTGCTGAGTTTCTGTAGCGTCTTCTTGATCCGCAGCGCAGTGAGGCGGGCAGAGGGGTTGGGGTACCAGCACTCCCGCATCATCTGAGCCAGGCCTGAGAGGACCTGGGGGAGGGAGAGAGAGGCAGAAGAGAGGAAGCAGAGACGTGGGTCAGGGAAGATGGAAAGGAGGAGGCAGGAGGATGGCCCAGTAAGAGGGAGACATAAGCAAGAGAGAAAGGACGAGAAGAGGGAGATGAGATTGTTGAAAGGAGGGAGAAGCAAAGACAGAAGTGGTAAGAGGGAGAATGGAGGACCAGGCAAGGATGGGAAGAGAAAAATAAAAAATGGAAGAGGAAGAGAGTGGAGTGAGAAGGAGGATGGAGAGAGGTAGACAGGGCAGAGTGAGAGATGTAACTCAGATCTTCAGGAGCACTCAGGCCCCTTGGTGAACACTGTCTGTGGAACACCTCACCCCCATCCTCCACCTTCACCAAGATCCAAGAAAGGGGAGATCTGCAAGCCGTGGGGCTCCCGCATCCCCATCTGCAGCCGGACCCCCGTGCAGAGGGCAACATCTCCCAGTGCTCCACCAACGCTGGCTGGGCCCGTAGACAGTAGCAGAACGGGTGGTGGGCACTGCTCTAAAAATGCCTGGAAGCTCCGTGGTCCCAGAGTGAGCCAGCTACAGCTCCACCTCAGAACTCAAGCTGGTTCCTGAGAGGGAGTGCATGTGTGTGCACAGGAATGCATGTGTGGCTTTTTGTGGATTGTATGTTGTGTAGAACTGTACATGTGTCTGTATATACATATATGTGTATACATGTGTACATTTATTCAATCTTTCAGTAAACATTCATTGAGCACCTATTGTGTGCCAGGCACTGTGAGAGGTAACAGGGAAATAAGGGTCAGCAAAGGAGTCTGCTCTGTGTCTTCAGGGGGCCAAGAGTCTGGCATCCATGTGCACGTGTGCATCTGTGAGTGTATGTTTATGCAGAAGCATGCGCATGCCTATCTGTGTTTATATACACGTGTGTATGTGTCTTGTAAAAGCAAGTGGAATGTTTTGAGAAAAAACAAAAACAAACAACAACAAAAATTTCATGGCAGGAAATGCAGCCTCTGACTTTCAGGCCAGGTGAAGCGTTCTGAAAATCCCAGAATAACCAGGGGGTCTCTGGGAGTCCACAGGCCAGGGATATGGGAGGGGGTCTAACCAGGGAGGTACCCTGCAATCTATCCCCCAAAATCTATCCAAGGTGAAGCAGAGGGCTCAGACACAAGTTCCTGGGCCTCCCAGAAATCCCAGCTGTGAGCCACCACCCCATCCATCCAGCCCCAGGGGAGGGCTCACCGGGTCTGCAGCCAGCCGGTTGGGGATGGTGGGGGTCTGCTGGTCAACACACACCACCTTCTTCATGTCCTCAAAGCTGGGATCATTGGGCACCAGGTCATAGAAGGGTGGCCTGTAGTCCTCCACAATGCCTGGGGATGGAGGGAGGATGGGACAATCACTGGGGCCAAGAAGGCCCAATGCCACCTAGAGGAGAGCCTTGCCCACCCTCTGTCCCAGGTGCCAGGAAACCAGTGCCTGGCTATGCTACCCCTGAAAGGGACACTATAATATAATAAATATATTTATAAATAATAATTACTGCCATTTATTTTGCACTTACCATGTGCCAGGCATTGTGCTATAAACATTTTACATGCATTATCCTGTGAGTCTCCACAACAACCCTCGAGGTGGGGACAATTATTACCTGCATTTTACAGATGACGAAACTGATGCTCAGGGAAGTTGAGCCCAGGGTTACACAGCTAGTAATGGCAGAGTCAAAATTTCAACTCATCTCGTTGGATTCCTAGGCCAGATCTTGTTCTAGTCTTTCCCACTGCCTCCCACCCAGGGCCCAGGTACTGCTCCCAGCTTCCAGCTATCACAGATGCTCAGTAATGCCTCAAGCTTACTGAGCACCGACTATGTGCAGGCATGTCCTAAATGCATTGCATTAAATCCTCACAACAACCCTAAGAGGTAAGTAATACTATTAGCTCCGCTCAATAAGCAAGGAAATTAAAGCCAGAGAGGTTAAGAAACTTGTGAAAGATCACACAGGTAGTAAGTGACAGAGCTAGGATTTAAGCCCAGAAAGTCTAACCAAAGAACATGCTCTTGACCTCCAAACTTCCTCGAGGGAGGGTAGCTGGCTGACTGCTGGGCGAGCATGTGGAACAAAGACAAAGGGAAGTAAACACCTCTCCTAAGAGAAAGCGATTTTCACCCCGGTCCAAATTACATCCACTCACCCTCAGGAATAGCACAGGCCTCTGCTGACCCCTCAGCCAGCAGCACCCTCTCCCCTCACTTTCCCAAGTGCACAGTCCTTAGCAGGAGCTTTCTGAAAATGATGCCTGTGCAGCTGCAGACAGCTTGGGCAGAAGAGGCCAGACCCTGAAAAAGTGCCTCATGCCCCACCCCACTTCCCAGCCCAAGGCTGGGGGCCCCGGCCACACAGCCCAATGGCAGCAGAGCCTGCGCCAGCTGTTCTCCCCATGGCCAGCGTCCAGGCCAGCCCAGTGTCACTCGCGCCCTAATCAGTGCTGTGCAGAGGCCTGAGCGTGTCTAATGGGCCTTTAATCAGCGCCGGGGCTGACACCAGATTACAGTGTTTATAATGCGCCACAAATCTGTGTGGGGCTGACGGAGCTTCCCTCCACCCCAGGAGCCTCAGTCAGCCTCCCTTCAGCCCCGGCCAGGCCAGCCTTCCTATCCTGCCTGCAGCCTGGTCCTAGGGGGCTCAGTTGCTTCCAGGTGCCCCCTTCCCTGACCCCAAGCTTTAGAGTCAACTCTGGGAATCCACGCCTGAAGGGGCAGGAATCTGAGTCCCTCGAGAGTCCCCCGGAGGGACTGGTTACACCTCGGCCTCCACCCATTGATGACCACTGAGGGCAAATGAAGCCTGGCATGGGGCTGGCTCCTGGTAGATGCTCAGGAAATGGGACTGGCCCTGTTCCCAAGGAGCAGAGCTCCAGTCACAGCCTGAGGGTTGTCCCCAACCTGTCAGGACTCCAGGCAGCCCCTCCCCATGGACAGCCTCCACAAAGACTGACAAGCCTCTCCACCCAGTCCAGACCACCACCCATCATCCATCCATGCCAGGGCTGGGAGGGCACCAGCCACAGGGCTGCCCCTGTACAAGGCCAGCAGGAATAAAGCCCCTGCACCTGCCCCCAGCCCCTCCAAATCTCAGTCCCCTGTAGATAATGAGGTAGCAACAAGCAGGCAGTGCAGGCATTTTTGTACACAAGGAAACCAAGTACCAGAGGCATTTACATGAGCACAGTGATAAAGAGCACTGGCCCCAGAGTCACACTGCCTGGGTTCAGACCCTGGTGCTGCCTCCAGCCAGCTGTAATTCTGTGCCTCAGTCCCCTCAAATGTAAAAATGGAGATGGTACCGTGTCAGGCGCTAATTATTACAACAATAATTGCCACTAAGATTTCCTGAGCTCCAGAACAGCTCCAGATAGTGTCCTGAATATTTGGATTATCTCAACAACTAAAAACTATTTTTATTCTCACTTTACAAATGAGGAAACTGAGGCACAGAGAGGTTAAGTAACCTGCCCATGGTCAGTGGTGAAATCAAGAACTGAACCCAGGCCTTCAGATTCCCAGCCTACGCTCTTAACCACTGAGCGGTACCACCTCCCTGCCAGCACAGGACGATCAAATAAGATAATGCATATATGTAGCACGGCATCTAGCACACATTGAAGCTCAATAAATGTTAGCCGCTATTATTAACATTTCTGTTATTATCACTTACCCAAGATTTCACAGTCAGAACCACAGACTTGCAGACTCAGATGAACCTTAACAGGTCACTCAGCTGAACCAGCTGGTGAGTGACAATGGAGGGAATCCAGGGAGTCTGGTCACAAGCCCCTCAGGCCATGGGCACCAACTATGGCAGGAAGCCCCCCTCTCCTGCCTGTCTGCCTATCTATCCACCTGCCCCTTTCCCCTTTCCCCACCCTGCGCAGGGCGGGTCCTCACCATTGACAATGGTCCGGCGGGCGATCTCCCACAGCACCAGGCCAAAGGCCCAGATGTCCGTCCACTTGTAGGACTCGAAGCAGTCAGTGCGGATCTGCTCATCCAGCACCTCAGGGGCCATGTACCGCTTGGTGCCCACTCGTGGGTTGTTGCCAATGTCCAGGTAATCGCTACCCTGGGAGTGCATCACAGCCAGACCTGTGGGTACCGGGCCTGTCACTCCCACTGCTCACCCGAGGGCAGACAGGGTGGCTCCCAGAGGCAGGGGTCCAGGGGGCAAGGTGGGGATGGAGAGACACGGTGGGACACAGAGGGGCAGGCAAATGGAGACCTGCCCTGAGGTGGGCTGGGAGACAGCAGCTACAGGAAGAAAAACTGTCATGGCCTAAGGCAGGCATGTTATGCCCATCTCACAGAGCAGAGCCCCAAGGCCTGGCGAGGGAGGGCCCTGTAGACAGTGAAGCCAGAACCCAGGTTCCTGGCTCCCCGCCCCTTTCACCCAACTCCTGGAGCCGGGGTGGTGTGTTGGAAAGAGTCTGGGCTTGATAAGAGTGTTTAGCAAACTAGTGGGGCTCTTGTGGAGGTGAAATGAGGCAGCAAACATCGCTAAGTTTTAAAGAGCCAATCAGTATCGTCGTCGTCGCCACGCACCCCAAACTAGCAAAGACGGAACCAAGCGGAGATAGAGCGCGAGCGACCTCGTCCCTGCGAAGGGCCCGCCCTTGCCCCCAACTCCGCAAGCCCCGCTGCGGAGGGCCCCACCCCACCACCCACTTGCAAAGGGCCTGCCCCTCACCTACGAAGGGCCCGCCCCGCCTCCGCCCCGCCTCCCTGCGGAGGGCCCGCCCCTGCCCCGCCCCGTCCCCTGGCGGGGGGCCCGCCCCACCACCCACCTGCGTAGGGCCCGCCCCTTTCCCCGCTCCGTCCCCTGGCGGGGGGCCCGCCCCACCACCCACCTGCGTAGGGCCCGCCCCTTTCCCCGCCCCGTCCCCTGGCGGGGGGCCCGTCCCACCACCCACCTGCGTAGGGCCCGCCCCTTTCCCCGCTCCGTCCCCTGGCGGGGGGCCCGTCCCACCACCCACCTGCGTAGGGTCCGCCCCTGCCCCTCCCCGCTCACCCAGGTCGGCGATGCAGCACTGCAGGTTGCTCTTGACCAGCACGTTGCGGCTCTTGAGGTCGCGGTGGGCGATGGCCGGTTTGCCCTGCGTGCCGAAGATCTCCACGTGCAGGTGCGCCAGGCCGCAGGCCGCGGACACAGCTAGCCTCAGAGCCAGCTGGGGCTCCAGCGTCTGCCTCTGCAGAAAGTCGTAGAGCGAGCCATGCTCGTGGTAGTGCGTGATGAGCCACAGCTGCGTGCTCGAGTTGCGGGAAGTCATGTCCGAAGCGATAAACCCTGTGGGCAGAGGGTGAGGTGGCTCGGCTGAGGTGCCTAGGGATGAGGCAGGCTGGACTGGTCAGGGCTGGGGCTGGGGCTGGGATCAGGGAAGGACTGGGTCAGGGCAAAGCTGAGGCTGAGACCGGCTGAGGCTGGTCTGGCTTAGGTCAGAGAGGAAGCTGGAGTCAGAGGTTGAGGTCAGGGTTAGGTCAATGTCCAGAGGCCTGGCAACCCCAGCCCTGAGTGCAGAGGGATGCAAGCCCCCGGCTTGGCATAGCAGCCCCCTGCTTGCCTAGGATGTTGTCATGTCTGAGCAACACCGTGTTGTAGATCTCGGTCTCCCGGAACCAGGACTGTTCATCCCTCGAGGAGAAGATCTTGACGGCCACACTCTCACCATGCCACAGGCCCCGCCATACCTCACCATAGCGGCCCTTTCCTGATCCAATGGCCGGAGGAGAGGGAGAGGGTCACACCAAGGCCCTGGGCACAGTAATCCCCAGAAGAGTCCTCCATCTTGATGTGGCACTGATACCATCTGCAGAACCTCCAACACTTATGTTTAACTTAATCCAGACCCAAACCCAGCTGGCAGGCCATCCCCATCTGCCTCTGGTACACCCCAGCTCCTGCAGAAGGATCTACCCCTGACCTATCTCCAGCCCACTCCTGGCCCAGCAGAATGCCCATTCTGACTCAGGCCTGGCCCTGCCTGTGACTCCAGAGGCCAAGACCTCCCTCACCCCTCCAAGCTCATGGGAGGCCTTGGTCCCCATCCCCGGGGCTCACCCACTGCTCACCCACACACTCCACCAGGGCAACCTGCCGTGCCACTGTCCTCTGCACCAGGAAGGGGAGCCCCGAGCCACTGCCCGTGGTGCAGTCACTGTCCAAGAGGTCCTAGAGGTACCGAGAGGCCACTGAGAGGCTGCCCCCACCCACCCTAGCCCCTGTCTCCATCCTCAACCTGATCCTCCTACTGTATCTCTGCATGCTCCTCACTCGCCCAGAGCCCCGCCCACTCGAATCTCTGAGTGTCTGTGATTGTGCCTTTCCTGGCTGCCTGTCACTCTGCATCCCCTCTGATTCTGTGGCTCCTGTCTACCCCCCACCACCCTGTGTCCCAGGTTCCCCAATGCCCGTACCCCCAACATGCTGTCCCCCTGCTCGGATGCCTTCAGGATGAGGCTGGACTCGCCCAGCTCGCTGTGCAGGCCCCGCTGCTTCTCCTGCCTCCGCCGGACGTGCCACAGGCCCAGGGCACCCAGGACCACCAGGGCCAGCAAGGCCAGCACAGGGCCCAGGATCAGAGGCAGCTGGCCATCTACTTGCGGCTGCTCCAGAGTTGGGGTGGCTGCTGGAAGGGGGAAACTGAGGCCCAGCTTCCACCAGGCCAGATCCCCCTACCTTGCCACTGTGCCATCAGATCCCAGGGTCCTGCCTCCCCCACCCTCCTGGCTGGAGCGTGAGAAGAGAGGAGGACAGGGAGGGAAGGGTCTGAGAAGATGGGGAAGGGTTGTAGGGCAGCTGGACATACCCTCCAGCACCAGGGACACGTTGTGGTTGCAGAGGGAGCTGTAGCAGCAGTAGTGGTTGACGAACTTGGTGGGGCGCCCCCAGCAAAGCTCCTGGTGCAGGTTCCCGCAGCCCCGATGTTCCTGGGGGTGCCTGCCCTCCTCCCGCACCAGCACTACTGTGCACCAGACCCCCTGGCAGGTGGGCCCCCTGCACTGGGGGTTCTCACATGTGCAGGTCACCAGCGGGCCCCGAGAGGGCTTCACGGGGTCACCTGGGAGACACACCAGAAGCTCAGCCACTCTGGGCCCCACTCCCCAGGCTGAAACCAACACCCATGTCTGTCCCACTGCCCTCTCCCTTGTGACCTCTCAAACAAACCCCTTGAGGCCTTGGTCCCTTAGTTCCATCCTCAGATTATCCTTCCCTCCAGAGCCTTACCCTCAACCAGGGGCAGCTGAGACTATGAGAATCAGACCTCTGTCCCTTCTCTGATCCTAGGACCTCCCCCTCCAGTTCCAGGCCCAGCCCTGGTCCCCAGCCCCAACTCTGAGGGCTCTCCCAAGCCCTCCCTGCCCACATCCCCACGCTCTGCACCTCCAGATAGTGGTTCCCTCCCTGGAGACTGACAAAGCACCAGCCTGCAGGTTTGGATCAAGAAGAGAGCAAAGGAGGATTGGGGTAGCTGGGCTCTTAGTCTAACCAAGCCTGTCTCCCACCCTCCAGCCAAGCTCCTAAATCGCTTCTCCCCAGCTCATACTCAGCTGAGCCCAGTAGCCCTTTCTCCATCCAGGCCCCTGTTCCCCACCTGCTCCCCAGGTACTCACCCTGGGTCAGGCCCAAGGCCAGCAGTAGCATCAGAAGGCCTCTCCTGGGGGGGTCCAAGGTCATGATCCTGGAGAGAAGAGCAGGAGGGGGGGTGCAGTAAGATCTGTGAAATGTGATCCCCCTGGTGTTTTCAGCCACTGACCACGGGTCCCTCCCACTCAGAGGAAATCACTGGGAGTATTTTGGGGGGGCAGGGAGGCCTCCTCCCTACTCCCTGCGTCTGGCCTTGGGGCGGGGCCTGCAGGGGAAGTCCTGGTTCACTTCCCCATGGAAACCATCCTGTTAGGGGTAAGGGGTGGGGAGCCATGTTTAAGTGACTGAGAGCTGGTGGGACTCCCAGCTGTGCCCCTCTGCTGCTGAACTCAGACAGGAGGGCGCAGAGGGCACGGGGCTGGGGCGAAGGGGCATCTCTTCAGGACCCCTCCACCCTCTGTCCTCTGCCTCTTGCCCACCCCCTCCCAGCCCTCCACCCCTGCCCACCCCCTCCCCAGTGCCCCCCCAGCCCTAGCTGCCTCAAACATAAACAGGCTCCTCTCTCCACTTCCTGCCATTCAGGGTCCCGCCAAGCTGGGAACAGGAATCAAGATTGTTTAGATTGAGGTCTGGATAGAACAGGCAGGAGTCACGCACAGCAGGGAGTCAGGGTGTGTTCTCAGGGCAGGCTGGAGCAGCCACAGGGTCTGGAGGAGCCGCGTGGGGCTGGAACACCCCCATGACAGAATCCTCGGGGGACACCTGTGCCTCACAAAGCCCAGCTCCTTATTTTAGAGCAGGCGGGATTAAGGATCAAACAGGGGAGGAGACTTGTCCAAGGTCAGACAGGATTTAGTGGCAGTACCAGAAGTACAACCCAGGTGTCCGGACTCCCAGTCCAGTGCTCTTTCGACTCTGTCTCCCAATCCAGGGGGCAGCTGTGTCTGAGCCCTCAGGGTTATAACAACCATATGAAGCTTCGACAGTGCTGAGTCATGCCAGGGTCATCTGTAACCTCACCAGAGTATAAGATGCCCTCGCTGAGCCATTCCCTGGCCCTTCTCTCTCCTTGCTGTCCTGGGAAAGCATGGGGGTAGGGCCAATGACATGAGAGGGGAAGTGAAACACACTTAGAGACTAAATGTTTGACCTTAGTTCTATGGCTGGCTAAGGTTGAACTTTTCTAGAAGTTTCATGGAGAGTATTAAGGGAAGTAATTCTGATCTATGATAGTCCCCAACCCAGGTCCCAAACCAACTCGTGCTCCAGAAGCCATGCCCTTCTTCATTTCTCAAAGGTTTAGAACAAGAAGATAAGGGCTGAAGCTGCAGCAAGAAGGACTGAGGTCAGATAGCAAGAAGGACTTGCATAATGGTAGAAAGTGTGCAAGTATGTGCCTGGGGACTGGATCCCCAGGCAGGGGCAGCTAACATGAGGGAGGGAGAGTGTCTTCTGGCATCACATGGTGAGGCAGGTAGGGCTAGACATATGGCCACATAAGCCGCAGAAGGCCCACAGTCTAAGAATGGTGCCAAATAAAGATCCATGATGCTGAGGCTCTGATGGCAGGATGGCTGTTGGGGGGGAGCTTCATGGGCCTCTCTGGCTGGTGGCAGCTCTGGCCTTCCTGCCTTGGCTTCCTCTGCCCCAGAGGCCCAGGGCTGGGGGAGGAAATGGAGCCCTGGGCTGCCGCAGCTGTGTCCCCAGCCTCTGCCTGACCTCCTGTCTCTTGCCCCTCCCGGCAGGCAGTGAGGACTTGCAGTAGGACAGGAGGCTGGAGGGGACGCCCGAGACAAGCTGAATTTGTCCACTAGGGTACAGGCAGGAAGCCATCCTTGGCAGCCTTTGCTTGCCCAGAAAGCAGCTAAGGAGAGGGTATGGTAACGGAAGGAAAAAGTGGGTAACAGTAAGGATGAAATCCGGCATCCTTCTAGGATCCTCTACCCATGCTTCCACTTCTCTGGCCAGGCCCCAGCACACCCTCTCACCTATTTTCTTATGCATCAGAATCGCCTGAAGTGCTTCGCCTGAAGTGCTTCGTTAGAAACGCCCATTCTTTGGTCTCACCCCCACTCCAGATTCAGATCCGGCCTATCTGGGACCAGCAAGAAACACGCATTTTTTAAAAGTTCCCCGGGTAATTCTGATAAGTTTGTGTGGGTATCACATTTGGAGAAATGTGTCCTACACAATGCTAAGACTGGGCCCCGTGCTTTCATTTCACTGTGCAGGGCCTACTGGATGAGTGGGTGTGAGGTGCAGAGGGCAGGGCGAGGGTGGGGGCTTTCTTCTTAACATCTCAAGCGTCTGGGCCCAGGAACGGTGCAGGGAGGGCCAGGCAGCATTTGCAGAACCCACCTCCGGTCTAATCCTGTGGATGTGGTTGAGTAAATTGCAACTGTCCAATCTTTAATGGGGCCCCGTGTAGGGCTAAGTACAGGAGGGTGCTGAGTCCTGACTAGTCCAAACTCAGAGTTGACCCTGCGGGATTCGCCCTGAACTCTGACTCCATCGCAGACGGACTCCTGGGGACTGGTGGCATCCTTTCACTTCTAAGCAAAACTTCGTGAAAGATCTCCTGCTGACAGAAGCATCACCGTTGTTGGCCAGAAATCACAAATGCTAGACTAATTTTAAACATTAACTTACCACTGTGAAACCCTTAATAATAAGACTTAACCTCCTCTGAGTGCTACGTATGTGCTAACTACTGAACTTTAACGGTTCATCTCATTTCATCCTCACAACAATCCAATGGGGGAAACTGAGGCTCTGGATGTTACATTTCTTGCTCATAATCACTCCATGTATGTTGATCCATTTAAATTGCTGGTAATAAATCCTCGCTTGGTCATTTTATTCCTCCAATTGTCTGGCGATAGGTAAGTCCCTTAAAGGAGGAAAAAGAACGAATCGGTCTCTCAGGCGTTAAGAGATTGCCTGCTGCTGCTGTCACCAGCGGGTGCCCGATGCGGGTTCGTTTGCATGCCAAGACAGAAATCCTCTGTTTGCTGTAGGCTTAGTCTTAGGTGGGGAGAACCAGAGTAGGAGTGTGCTTGGAAGGTGGTTGTCAATCTTTTTCTTCCCAGCCCATCAGCAGCAGTGGCTCAGCACAGTGGTGATTATGAAGGGGCTGGAAGCACCCACTCTGCCCATCAGCAGGTCTCACCGAGACAGCACAGGACCAGACTGAGCTGCTCGAACCAGGTTGCCCCTTATACACAAAGCACTTTCATTTGCATCACTGCCTTAGCCCCTCACAGCGTGTGACGTAGCATCAAGCCTGGATTTTAGGGTCTCAGACAGAATGCAGAGGCAGCACAGTGTTGCACAGAAGTTAGGACGTGGGCTCTAGATCATGTAGACCTGGGTTCAAATCCTGCCTCTGCCACTTAGAGCTATGAGATTTGGGGCAAGTTACTTAATCATTTTGAGGCTTAGGCTTCTCCTATGAAAAATGGGAATAATAACAGTGCTCATTTCATAGGTATAATGTAGTAAAATTGTTTAGCAGAGTACGAAGTGGTACACAGTAAGCATTTAACAAATGTGACCAAAAGCCCAACCTGCCATTTACACCATCCGTGGAGCTTTGTACAAGTGATTCAAGTCTGAATCTGTTTCCTCTTCTGTAGGATGGGCATAATAACACCTCTTCTGCTGGGTTGTGGCCAGGATTACATGAGAAAAATAAATCTAAGTGGCTACATAGTAAGTACTCAATAAATGGTAGCTATTTTTAACCACCTTGATGAGATGGACAGATACTAGAACAAACGGGGCAGTGAGGGATCAGAGAGGACAGACTCTGACCCAGCCAGAAGGGGCCCCTAGAGAGAGAGTGATAGCTATTGTCCACTATGCCCCATCCTTGGAGAAGAAAAGAGACGGGGGTGCAGCCAGCCCAGAGATGGGCTCAACAGCACTGGGCTCCTGGCAGACTGAAAACCTGGGGTCCCAGCCTGGAGGGAGACTGGGATGCTCTCTGGCCTGGATCCTGAAGGAAGGTCACCGCAGGGGAATCATCTGACCATGCAGGGTTGGAGGTGAGGTTTGTGAGATGGAGTTACGGTGTCAGATTCCTGTAGCGTCAGCTGCAAGGGCTGGTCTGGGGAAGGTGGGCTTGAAGGGGAGGCTCGACAGCGTTGGAAGCGGACACTCACTCCCAGGTAAAGCCCGCCGCCTGGAGGGCCATGGGCCCATTTTATGGATGAGGGCGGGAGAACAGAGAAGTTAAGTGACTGGCCCCAGGAGCACAGTTTTCTGATCCCCAGTCCGGGTCAGCCCAGCCCCCTCCCCGTCTCGGGTGGAGGAAAGAGCAGATGTGCGCGGAGGGCGAGGGGCAGCTTGCGCTGCTAATGAGCTGGGACTGACCCTAAGGCGACTTCTTTAAGGGGGTCTCTGGAATCTGCCAAAAGAAAGGGCCCATTCTAGTTGGGGGTCAGGCCGCGCGTTTCCCTCCCCGCCGCCGGGCCCGCGGACCCCAACTCACCTCCGGGCCTGCCCTCGGGCGGTGGGGTGCCGGCGTGCAGCGGGCGGGGCGCCTCCCTTCCCGGCGGCGGC